AAAGCCTACCTTAACGTGGTTGACAATAAAATATCCGGATATAGGGCATTCGGCCGTTCAGTTATCCGGGCTTGTATTTTGTCACCAAGAGCAATGTTAAGGACACACGTCCAGGCTAATTTAAAAAAAAAAAAATAAAAATTGAAAATTACCGCTACGACTTTACGAGGCTATTTGAAGTCGGATCAAAGACGAGCCTATCACAAGTGGGGGGGGGGGGGTGCAAAAGGGCACAATACTTTGATGCTGGGGATCAAATAATTTTTTAAAACAATACTGCAGGTATTCATGTAAGACCTAGTGTTTTTTTGTTTTTTTTTTTGGGTTGTTTTTTTCAATAACCTCTGGTGATAATGGTCTGTATAGCAATGGATTGTATTAGCATACCATTAAGATACAGAGTAATGAAACGACGTTGAAGATACGGTATCGTGTGAAAGTCATGCCCCGTGGGATGTTTCAGTGGTGCCCGTGGGATGTGTCAGTGATGTCCAGTGGGATGTCTCAGTGATGCCCGTGGGATGTTTTAGTAATGCCCGTGGGATGTGTCAGTGATGCCCCGTGGGGTTAGTCAGTGATGCCCGTGGGATGTGTCATTTATGCCCGTGGGATGTGTCAGTGATGCCCGTGGGATGTGTCAGTGATGCCCGTGGGATGTGTCAGTGATGCCCGTGGGATGTGTCAGTGATGCCTGTGTGATGTGTCAATGATGCCCATGGGATGTGTCAGTGATGTCCGTGGGATGTGTCAGTGATTCCCGTGGGATGTGTCAGTGATGCCCGTGGGATGTGGCAGTGATGCATGTGGGATGTGTCAGTGTCAGTGATTCCTGTGGAATGTGTCAGTGATGCCCGTGGGATGTGTCAATGATGCCCATGGGATGTGTCAGTGATGCCCGTTGGATGTGTCAGTGATGCCCGTTGGATGTGTCAGTGATGCCCGTGGAATGTGTCAGTGATGCCCATGTGATGTGTCAGTGATGCCCGTGGAATGTGTCAGTGATGCCCATGGGATGTGTCAGTGATATCCGTGGGATGTGTCAGTGATGCCCGTGGGATGTCTCAGTGATGCCTGTGGAATGTCTCAGTGATGTCCGTGTGATGTCTCAGTGATGTGTGAACGCTTCCATGCTGATGTCCCATCACGGTGGTGACGCCTATGGGATCACCGTGACAAGTAATAATATTGTTTGGGTTGGGGAGGGGGTGAGTTGGATCATTCCTGATCAATGTCGAGACATAGAGCCCTGTTATGTGTAGAATTGTGTGGCTATTGGACCAGTGGCGTATGTAAGGTGAGGAGGGGTTGTCCGCCCCCGGGGGGCACCTTTTTTCTTCGGGAGAGGGGCATTTCAAACGTTGGCATTTTAGGGAAAACTGCAACTTTTTTTCGTGGATGTGGCTGGGGGGGGGGGGGCGCGCTGTTGGGAATCTTGGCAGGCGTCTGGCAGCAATTACCGTAGCCAAAGTGTCCTCGTTTTATAGCCATTTTAATTGTTTCTATAGTATAGTAGTTTAGTTACTATCCTAGTGTCTCATTTTTATTTTAGTTAGTTTACATGTTTGTAATAATTGTAAAGCGCTTAGAGCTTTAAGGTAGGCGCTATATAAAAATGCCCTAAATCAATAAATAAATACGTCACCTTTTTGAACATTTAACAGGGATATACCTAAGATTAGGTTTCGACACCTTTTCTCATACTTATACAAAATTAACTATGCAATTTAATCTATGAAAAAAATATGCTTCTACTTTATTTAAAGCATTGCAAGGGGAAGCGTAGAAGTTTAAAAAGTTGCGACTCATTACCAATAGGAAAATTTATAAAGAAGGGCACCGTCAGAGCAGGTTGCCCCCTGTCACCAGACACAGGTTCAATAAATCGCGAGACAGACACGGGCTCAATAAATGCCGAGACTGACGCAGGTTCTTTAAATGCCGAGACAGACACATGTTCATTCGATACCGAGACGGACACAGGTTCAGTAAATGCCGAGACAGAAACAAGTTCAATATATAACGAGACAGACACAGGTTCAATAAATGCCGAGACAGACACAGATTTATTCTTTGCCGAGACAGACACAGGTTCATTAAATTCCGAAACAGACACAGGTTCATCAAATGCCGAGACAGACACAAGGCCAAGCGCGTGCAAACATATGCAAATGAGCTGCCATGGTTCCGGTCGGATACGGTCAATAACGGAACACGACCTTCGGATACACATTGCGTACAGCGACAAGAGCTAGGTCGAGGTCGATGTTTAGAAGAGCCGGGGAGCCGGGTGTCGGGAGTGAGCTCCCGAGGAGTGGGGTGCCGGGGAGTGGGGTGCCGAGAAGCTAGGTGTACTTCGAGAATTATTTTTCTTCCGTTCGTTAATTTGAAAGAGAGAAATAAAGAGAAACCGAGAGAGAGAGAGAGAGGGAGAGAGAGAGAGGGACATAGTGGCAGAAAGATGGAGCGCCAGAAGAGATAGAGTGAATGTTAGGGAGAGATGAGGACAGAGAGAGAGAGAGAAGAATAGAGAGAGACTGTTAGAGAGATAATGAAAGATATAGAAGGAGAGAGAGAGAGAGAATTAGACAAATGTTAAAGAAAATGGAAGAAAGAGCGATTGAGCGAGAGGTAGAGGAAAGAGAGAGATAGAGATAGAGAGAGAGGTAGAGGAAAGAGAGGGATAGAGATAGAGAGAGGTAGAGGAAAGAGAGGGATAGAGATAGAGAGAGAGGTAGAGGAAAGAGAGGGATAGAGATAGAGAGAGAGGTAGAGGAAAGAGAGGGATAGAGATAGAGAGAGAGGTAGAGTATAGAGGGAAAAAAAAACTATGATTATCAGTAGTTCATGTTGCTATAATATGGACAACTCTAAATTGTCAACTTTTGTCTCTAAGTTAATATTCGTATGGACAACTCTAAATTGTCAACGTTTGTCTCTAAGTTAATATTCTTATGGACAACTCTAAATTGTCAACTTTAATCACTACGTTAACATTTACCACAGCAGAGCATCACGTTAGACATTAGACGGAGTAGTAGAGGTAATCGAGAATTTTCCACCAGGCGTTCCAGGTGACAGAGGAGAGGGTTATGGCGATAGAAAGTTCGCCGTGGAGATAGGAAGGGAAGGCAAGACTGTACCATACAATCAACACGCAGACCTCTCTGTGTGGCAATGGCGTCCCCAGCTCTAAGCCTCGAAATGGCGCACGGAATAAAATTCCCGATAACTGCCCTGAACGAGGTTCTTGCGCATACCGCAGGTGCGTTTGGTGCGTACACGCGTCGCCGCTGACCAAGGTATTGGTGTAATAGATCAAGAACATTGGAATATTACTGCAGTTCAGGGGCGGTGGTGTATGGGGAAAATAGGAGGAAAAAAAAAAGNTGGTATTGGCGTAATAAATCAAGAATATTGAAATATTAGTATAGTACGGACAAATTGTGTGTGTGGGAGGGGGGGGTTTGGGTATCATTATTGGAAATCTTAAAAATTGCGTTTCTTGAATGTATGTTTTTTCAAGTAACTTATAATTACCAGCTTTAGCCATTGCGAGACAGAGCCACACACCAGTAGAGCAAAAGAGAAAATGGGTGAGATTTAGAACTGTAAATCTGTTGGCTAAAATAGAAGAGTTTAGAGCGGAAATGGAACATGTGTCTCCAAATGCCGTCTTCCGGTGTCGTCTCCAGATGTCGTCTCCAGATGTCATTTTACATTTTTCATCTCAAAATGTCGTTTATCAATGTCATGTCTAAATGTCGTCGTTCAATGTCGTCTCATAATGTCAACTCCAAATGTCGTCTTGCAGTGTCGTCTCCAAATGTCTTAAAGTTTCGTCCCCCAAATATCGTCCATAAATTGTCATTTCTAATGTTATCTCCAATGTTATCTCCAATGTTATCTCTAATGTTATCTCCAATGTTATCTCCAATGTTATCTCCAATGTTATCTCCAATGTTATCTCTAATGTTATCTCCAATGTTATCTCCAATGTTATCTCCAATGTTATCTCAAATGTTGACTCTGATGCCGTTTTCTAAAGTAGTCTAAATATTTTGTCGTCCATCGTGGTATCCTAATGTTGTCTCCTGCCCCCCACCCCAACGCCCACACACAACACGGGCCAAATTTCATGGTTGATAGAACTCGTCTCGGCTGACTAAACAAGCTTCAAAGTCTCTCTAACCAGACATCTTCTTCTTGCTCTCACTTACTGTGTCATAACGTGATTAATGTGTTGTGTGTTTATTTTTTTTTTTACATTTCTTTCCAGGCTACAAAATAACACCAAGACAAACGGTTGTCATCATCTGCTAACCACCCCCTCCACAATTGCGACTCCGGGCTCGTCAACTGTCAAACAGGTGGTCCAAACGAGGAAGAGACAAATCGCGCGGCCATTTTTGTTTGTCGCTATACTTAGCCCCGCGAGCCTTTGGGGAAATTAGCAGGCGGCTTGGCTAGCGCTGGAGGAAGCGAAATCATTACGTCAACAGAGGTCGCCCCGCTCAATTATTCATCACTTGCCTACCCCCAGCAAGACCCGGGGGCTCGTACTGGTTGATCATAGTACAGTCTCGTGCTGAGACTTTTAAAAAAATATATATATATTCTTTCCTTTTTTTTTATGATGCTTTTGGCATTTCCACAAACTCAGTACATAGATCAGAAAGCTAATTAGACGTTTGGAAGGGAGAGGGGGAAAAATCACTGCAGCGTATTGAAGTATAAGTCATTTGAAGTCCGTGCATCATCAGCAGACGCCTAAGTAGGTCAGATTAAAAGTAGGCCGAGTTGAAATCTGATGTACTTTGACGATCCTGGAGTAATGCGGTTGTCCATTGATGTTAGTTTGGCTGATTAGTGAGCTTTGGACAAGGGCGTGAGGATGTCGGTTTAGCTTAGTGTTTTGAGTTCCCTTCGCATCCGTCCAAGAAATGGGGACCTACGCGTCCAGCCGCTGGTCAGTCCTCGCGCTCCTGCTCGCACTCCATTACATGCCGGGCGGCGGTCAGCAGAACAGGCCCGTGGAGTTCCGTATCCAGGAGCAGAGGCCGTCTGGCACCATGGTGGGCAGCATCCGGGACACGGCGAGGATAGCCAACCGCGTCCCGGCCTCGGAGCTGGGGAGCCTGAGCTTCAAGTTCCTGAACCCCAACAACCTCCTCGGCACCGCCTCGCTGTTCAGCATCAACAGCGACACGGGCGCCGTGTACACGATGGCCGTCATCGACCGCGAGAGCATCTGCCAGTTCCAGAAGGACTGCATCGTCGAGTTCGAGGTCACCGTCACGTCGACGCAGTCCAAGTTCTTCGAGTTCGTCAACGTGAGGATCATCGTCGAAGACATCAACGACAACGCGCCGAGGTTCCCGCAGGACGAGGTCACGCTGCTTATCCCGGAGACGGACAACATCCGTGGCGAGTTCCAGATCGACGGCGCCACGGACAAGGACAAGGAGGAGCGGTTCTCAGTGACCAAGTACGAGATGCGGTCCGAGGACAACGACATGTTCGACCTCCGGTCCGAGATGAAGCTGGACGGCACGTGGGACCTGTCCATCGTCAACCTCCAGCCGCTGGACCGGGAGAAAAAGGACCGCTACGTGCTGTACATCGTCGCCAAGGACGGCGGCAGCCCGCCCAAGTCGGGCAACGTGACCGTGATCGTCAACATCCGTGACGTCAACGACAACGCCCCCGTGTTCTCGGAGAACACGTACGAGATCACGTTGACCGAACAGGCGCAGGTGAGTTGATCGTCTAGTTATGTATGTAATGTAACCAGTGTAGGTCAGTGGGGGTCACTCTACGCCAATGTACGTCTGTGTAGGTCTGTGCATTTCCGTATTATTGGTGTGCATCATTATAATTCAGTTATATCAGTGTATGTCAGTTTATTTCATTGTAAAGTCATGTGTGTCAGTAATGTCAGTGTATGTCAATGTATATTAGTTATCTCAGTGTATGTCATAAGTCGGTTATGTCATCTATGTCATTATAAGTGAGTTACGCCCGTGCATATGTTATGAGTGCGACAGTTAAAACTAACACTAATCATCCAATGGTCAATTTTACATACACACATTAGCTCAGAACTAAAGAATTGTATGTCATTAAAAATAAAATATTTTATGTCATTAAAACTAGAATAGTGCATGTCATTAAAACTAGAATATTGTATGTCATTAAAACTAGAATAGTGTATGTCAGTAAAACTAGAATATTGTATGTCATTAAAACTGGAACGCTCGCGACAACCTATTCTTGATCAACCCTTGTGGGTTGCATACATCCTCATGCATTAATCCCCCCCCCCCCCCCCTCTTAGATCCGCCCCCCCAAATCCCCCCCCCCAGGCCTGGCGGGGGAAAAGGGGGGGGGGGGGGAACTCCCAACAATACAACCATCAACTATTGTGAACACTGACAGCTGTAGATGCTAACAGATTGGAAAAGGGGGGGGGGTCGAGGAGGGTTCACGAGTGCCATTGATTTTACACACAAGAATCACTGGGCGACTCTCGGAGATGCCAAAGAGAGAGTGAGGGATTGGCGAATGAAAGACTCATCTCAGTCTCGTCTGACAGTCTCATGCCTGATCTCTTCTCGCAGTCTCGTCTTAGTCTCCTCCTTGTTACATCCCATCCTGGTCTGTTCTCGCAGTCTCGTCTTAGTCTCCTCCTTGTTACATCCCATCCTCCTTGTCTCTTCTCGCACTCTCGTCTTAGTCTTCTCCTTGTTACATCCCATCCTGGTCTGTTCTCGCAGTCTCGTCTTAGTCTCCTCCTTGTTACATCCCATCCTCCTTGTCTCTTCTCGCACTCTCGACTTAGTCTCCTCCTTGTTACATCCCATCCTTGTCTCTTATCGCAGTCTCGTCTTAGTCTCCTCCTTGTTACATCCCATCCTTGTCTCTTTTCGCAGTCTCGTCTTAGTCTCCTCCTTGTTACATCCCATCCTTGTCTCTTCTCGCAGTCTCGTCTTAGTCTCATTCTTGTTACATCCCATCCTTGTCTCTTCTCGCAGTCTCGTCTTATTCTCCTCCTTGTTACATCCCATCCTTGTCTCTTCTCGCAGTCTCGTCTTAGTCTCCTCCTTGTTACATCCCATCCTTGTCTCTTCTCGCAGTCTCGTCTTAGTCTCATCCTTGTTACATCCCATCCTTGTCTCTTCTCGCAGTCTCGTCTTAGTCTCCTCCTTGTTACATCCCATCCTTGTCTCTTCTCGCAGTCTCGTCTTAGTCTTCTCCTTGTTACATCCCATCCTTGTCTCTTCTCGCAGTCTCGTCTTAGTCTCCTCCTTGTTACATCCCATCCTTGTCTCTTCGAGCAGTCTCGTCTTAGTCTTCTCCTTGTTACATCCCATCCTTGTCTCTTCTCGCAGTCTCGTCTTAGTCTCCTCCTTGTTACATACCATCCCCGTCTCTTCTCGCAGTCTTGTCTTAGTCTTCTCATTGTTACATCCCATCCTTGTCTCTTCTTGACAAACACACCCACCAATGACAGGATGGTAGGATGGCAGGTCTCTGTTCGCCTTGTGTCATAACCCGTCCCTAATCTTACACACACCGGTATCCCTGGTTCTATTATTTAGCATTCCCCTAGATTCTACCATTACACATTACACAGCATCCCATTCTTTACCATACCATCCTCATCTCTGTACTGAAAGCTGATCCTTAGAACAACCCGACAGAGCTCTCGTCCAGAGACGTTGGGATGCACATACAATACTAACTCGCAGTCATATTCCCTCTCTAACTTCATGAGTTCCCATTCTAAATGTGTAATGTGACAAGTGCTATGTGACGTGTGTTATGTGACGTGTGTTATGTGACGTGTATTATGTGTCGTGTGTTATGGGACGTGTGTTATGTGACGTGCGTTATGTGACGTGTGTCATGTGACGTGTGTTATGTGACGTGTGTTATGTGACGTGTGTTATGTGTCGTGTGTTATGTGACGTGTGTTATGTGACGTGTGTTATGTGACGTGTGTTATGTGACGTGTGTTATGTGACGTATGTCATGTGACGTGTGTTATGTGACGTGCTGCATGTGGTGTTCGGGTCAGTTCTGTTTGTGTTTGGGTTTCCTAGATGCCCTGCATTCATGGTGTCCTTATGACACCAAAATGAAACCAGTTTTGGTGGACTGCTGTCCTCGCTTTGGGCTGTCGTGTCCTCAAGACACCAACATGAAACCAGTTCTGGTGGACTGCTGTCCTCGCTTTGGTCTGTCGTGTCCTCAAAGACACCAAAATGAAACCAGTTTTGGTGGACTGCTGTCCTCGCTTTGGGCTGTCGTGTCCTCAAGACACCAACATGAAACCAGTTCTGGTGGACTGCTGTCCTCGCCTTGGGCTATGGTGTCCTCAAGACACCAACATGAAACCAGTTCTGGTGGACTGCTGTCCTCGCTTTGGTCTGTCGTGTCCTCAAAGACACCAAAATGAAACCAGTCTTCATCTGTCTCAAATATTACAACAGTTGTCTGTTTTTTTCCAAGCTCGCGTCTTATGTCTTTTCAATTGTGATCCGCGTGTCCCGAGGGCACGTTCGACATTTTTGTCTGGAAAGGCCGGGAAAAAGATATCTGCCATCGTAGGAATCAATGGCAATAACTAGGCACATTTTTTTGTGTGTGTAATAGTGTATCAGTATCGCTGTTTGAAATGTGGCAACCCCAGAGCATTGCTATAATAACGGGGCGCATTCAACGTTTGAGAATACCTGAAATGACATGCCGTCACATTTAAATACGGGTTGAAATAATCGGTTTTAGTTAAATACAGAAATCGTGGTCTCCTGTATCCACACTTAACATCCTGTATCCACACTTAACATCCTGTATCCACACTTTACATCTTGTATCCACACTTTACATCCTGTATCCACACTTAACATCCTGTATCCACGCTTTACATCATGTATCCACACTTTACATCCTGTATCCACACTTTACATCCTGTATCCACACTTAACATCATGTGTCCACACTTAACATCCTGTATCCACACTTTACATCATGTATCCACGCTTTACATCCTGTATCCACGCTTTACATCCCGTATCCACGCTTTAAATCATGTATCCACGCTTTACATCCTGTATCCACGCTTTACATCCTGTATCCACGCTTTACATCCTGTATCCACACTTTACATCCTGTATCCACGCTTTACATCCTGTATCCACGCTTTACATCCTGTATCCACACTTTACATCCTGTATCCACACTTTACATCCTGTATCCACGCTTTTTATCCTGTATCCACGCTTTTTATCCTGTATCCACGCTTTGCATCATGTATCCACACTTTACATCCTGTATCCACGCTTTACATCCTGTATCCACACTTTACATCCTGTATCCACGCTTTACATCCTGTATCCATGCTTTTTATCCTGTATCCACACTTTACATCCTGTATCCACGCTTTACATCCTGTATCCACACTTTACATCATGTATCCACGCTTTACATCCTGTATCCACGCTTTACATCCTGTATCCACGCTTTTTATCCTGTATCCACACTTTACATCCTGTATCCACGCTTTACATCCTGTATCCACGCTTTACATCCTGTATCCACGCTTTACATCCTGTATCCACGCTTTACATCCTGTATCCACGCTTTACATCCTGTATCCACACTTTGCCTTGCATGTAACCAAATTCACGTTTTTTTTTGTTGTCCTTGCATCCCGCCAGGTGGGTGCCGTGGTGGGCCAGGTGACGGCGACGGACGCCGACGACAAGGACAACGCCGTCGTGACCTACAGGTTCAGCAAGACGATCAGCCCGGACATGGACGCCCTGTTCTACATCGACTCCCAGAGCGGGGAGATCATGGTCAAGAAGGACCTGCAGTACGAGTCGGGGCGCAACTTCGAGACGATCGTGGAGGCCAGGGACCGGGGCAACCCGCCCAAGGTAAGGGGGTTCTCTTCCGTGATACGGTGCTTACGTTCACTTATATTTATCCAGTGGCATCCCTAGCCTAACGGAGGGTGGTGGGGCGAATGGGGGGGGGGGCCGGATAGACCACCCTTTGTGGCACTGTTGGGAGTTATTACAACAATGTACACAGGTATGTGTGTAAGGGCGCAATTGACGGACTCCGCCCCCCGCCATCGGTTAGTCAAGACACGCCTATGAGTGTATGCAAAGAGAACAAAGTCAAGGTATACAATAATTTCTGTAAATCAAACAAATTAGAGATATTTGCTTTCATTGGAATCATTATCAGCGTCACTCCATTTGTTGATTGGATTCCAAGTAATGAATGATTGAATTTTTTCCCGGGAAATCGATGAACTCACCGAACATCCAATTAATAAAATGCACATCACGTGTGGAATAGATGGGAGTCTCTTATGACGATTTAACGATTTAAAAAAATATTTTAAGAAAATGTAAATTTGTGCTGAAGATTGTGGAAATAGATTGATTTGATTGCGTGCTGCCGTATATCTTAAAGAAAACGAGAAACTTCATCTTACCGCGCAGTGGCGTAGCGAGCGTTAGTGCCGCCCTGGGTTGGGTTAAGCTTATTGCCGTCCCCCTTCCTCGAAAAAAGTCCTTTTCATGCGGGGGGGGGGGGGGGGGGGAAAAAAAAAAAATGGGGGGGGGGGAATAAAGAAAAAAATTATTGCCAGAGATGGACTGACCCCCCCCCTCCTTTTTTTCTTCTTTTCTGCGCCACTGTTAATTATAGCAGAAATTCGTACAGTAAATTGCAAATATGAATCCATAAGACTTATCTTGACACAGAGCAGCACAAATTGGCCGAAAAGCCTTTAAAAAAATAAAAAAAAGAAATCTTTCAAACAATATCTCGTTAAATACGCCAATGTCATATATCATACTACAATAACCGGAAGAAGTAACCAGTATAAAGTAGTCGCTACTTATCTCACTAGAGTTAACTAACTTGTCCTTGATAGAGTAAGTGATCTTGTCATCGTGAATACAGTCTCCAACGAATCAGCACAGTGATTTTTTTGTCGTAACCTCAAAACTTGTCCAATGAGAGCATACAGCAGTTTCTTTTTTGTTTTTTTGTTTTTTTTTTGTACATCATTCATTTATGTGTAGGTCAAGGGCGTACAGATTCTAGTTTTACATATAAACTATTTCTGTTAAGCCCTTTAGCTAAAAAATTATTTTACACCTGCTTGCAATGTTTTCTTTGATCGACCTCTCGGTGTAAAACCCAGTCTGCTAAAAACCGGATCACAATTTTATTTTATTTTGCCCCCACCCCCCCACCCCCACCCCCCACTACTACCAGGTATCCCAGGCAGTGCTCATCTTGAAAATCCTGGACGTCGGGAACACACCCCCGAGGATATAGCTAAAAAATTATTTTACACCTGCTTGCAATGTTTTCTTTGATCGACCTCTCGGTGTAAAACCCAGTCTGCTAAAAACCGGATCACAATTTTATTTTATTTTGCCCCCTCCCCCCCACCCCCACCCCCCACTACTACCAGGTATCCCAGGCAGTGCTCATCTTGAAAATCCTGGACGTCGGGAACACACCCCCGAGGATCTCAATCAACCCGGTGCCCAACCCGGACGGCAACGTCCTTTACCTCTCCGAGGCGTCGCCCCTGGAAACGGTCGTGGCCCACGTGAAGACGGACGACCGCGACGACGGCGACAACGGCGTGGTGGACTGCCGCAGCCAGAACCCGCACTTCAAGGTCCGGCGGTTCGACGGCTCGAGCTACCTGGTCGACGTCAAGGAGAAGCTGGACCGCGAGCGGCAGGACGAGCACAACGTGACGATCGTCTGCGAGGACCGGGGCAGCCCTCGGCTGGCGGCGTACGGCTGGTTCATCATCAAGCTTACCGACGTCAACGACAACGACCCGGTGTTCAGGACCCAGATCTACCGCGCCAACCTGACCGAAAATAACAAGAAGGGCGCGCACGTGTTGTACGTGACCGCGACGGACGCCGACACGGGGGACAACGCCAAGCTGCACTACTCGATCTCTTTGGAGTCGGCGAAGTCGTCGTTCGTGATCGATAACCTGACCGGGGAGATCACCGCCGGGCAGGAGTTCGACCGGGAGACCGTCTCGCAGGTGTCCTTCATGGTCATGGCGATGGACGGGGGCAAACGCACGGGCAACGCGTCAGTCGTGGTCGACATCACCGACCAGAACGACAACAGCCCTTACTTCACTTCCTCGTTGGAGTACCAGGTGGCCGAGAAGCTACCGGCCTCCACGGAGGTGGACACCCTGCAGGCCGATGACCGGGACGACGGTCAAAACGCGGAGATCACATTTCTCATCCCCGACGATCACTTCAACAGCAACGAGGAGTCGGTGCCTTTCATCGTGCTGCCCAAAGGGCTCATCCGAACGGCCAGCGCCCTGAACAAGGACAAGCAGGACGTGTACAAGTTTCCCGTCATGGTCAAGGACAGAGGTCATCCGTCGCGGAGCTCCACCGCCACGGTCACGATCCACGTCATGGACTCCAACGAGTTCAGCCCGGTGTTCACTTTTCCGTCGCGTTCCAACAACACAGTGAGGCTGAGGTCGGACACGCCCCTGGGGACTGTGGTCGCCAAGCTCAACGCGACGGATGACGACAAGGTCGGCCCCAACGCCAAGCTGAGGTACACCATCGCCGCGGGGAACATCGAAAACGCCTTCTCCCTCAAGTCCCCCTCGTCCGGGGAGGTCGTGTTGGTCAGGGACTTGGCCAACCTCCAGGCCAGTTTCTTCAGGCTCAACGTGACCGTCCACGACCAGGGGATCCCGTCGCGGGACGCCAGGGCCGTGCTGACCATCCAGGTGGACTACACGGAGGGTCACGGCATGAGCCGAACGCGGAGCAGCGGCGGCGGCAACTCGACCACGATGTTCGGCGACGACGACATCAAGTACATCATCATCGCCGGGGTGGTCGGCGGCGTCACCGTGGTCGTCTCGATCATCATCGTGACGATTATACTCCGCATCCGGCGGCCGGACAACAACAACCGGACGACCGGACTGACCGGCGTGCAGGAGCAGGGCGACGGCCGCCACTTCGACAAACAGATGTGGCAGAGCGTGCCCATCGACGACGTCACGCCCACCGAGACGGAGGGCAAGAAGCTGGGGGGTCTGAGCTTGAAGGGCGGTGGCGGCGGGGGTCCCGACCAGAAGTCGGTAAACGGTGGGGTGAGCCCCAAAACGAACAGTGACCTCATTGACCCCTACGGTCGGAAGCATGGACCGGAGCCGTTTCAAGGTCAGCCGCAGTTGTACACCTTCAAAAAGGTAAGTGCCAGAAATCCGTCTGTCGATATCGCCAGATGACATCACCTGTTGACATCTGTTTTCTTGACATCACCTGTTGACATCACCTGTTTGCTGACATAAATTTGCTGACATCGCCTGTTTGTTGCCATCATCTATTGACATCATCTATTGACACTCCTCTTTGTCGTCACCTGTAAATGTTTTAAATGTAATACAAGACTGCACTCCTCTTATGTCTTAGCTACGTCCCGATTTGACACTACCCCCCCCCCCCTTTTTTCCCTCCCATGTCTATATTAGGAAAACATGGATTGTGTCTTTACGAATAACATCTTATGGTCCTGACCTCTTTGTCGTCACCTGTAAATGTTTTAAATGTAATACAAGACTGCACTCCTCTTATGTCTTAGCTACGTCCCGATTTGACACTACCCCCCCCCCCTTTTTTCCCTCCCATGTCTATATTAGGAAAACATGGATTGTGTCTTTACGAATAACATCTTATGGTCCTGTCTTTTTGATTCAAGATTCAACATGCCCTGCTTTACTATTTCGCCTATAATGAAACATTGGGTCTGTATAAAAACGAGGGTTCATGACAACTTGAAAACATAAATGCTAATTATGACGCTACTGTGCTTCGCACCAAGTAGCGCATCTTCAAATCTCGGCTCTCCCATTATACCATGTTCTACTCTCTCTCTATGTGTGTGTCATGGGTCACCAAATCCTGTCTTTATCCTAAATGTACGGCCCTGCCATCAGAAAGTGAGTTTATGTTGCTTTGGAAACAGTTGATTCTCCATAACACTCTCCTCCAGACTTCGCAGTTTCGCTGGAGAGATTTCCCGCGACGCTACATCATCGTGTCTTGGACGAATGACGTCATATAATGATCTATATTCATTACATAAATATTTATGCCTGCGTAATACATAAACGTTTAACTTCATACAAATATAAACCACTGTGACATCATCAAAGGTGACAAGCTGGCACAATGCGAAAGTCAAGGCGTCCCCCATGGCGTAAACACAAAAAACAAAAGAGAATAAATATTTATTTTTTTTAAAAATGGGCCACCCTTATCATCCCACTGACGAACAGACCGGACTGACGAACAGACCGGACTGACGAACAGACCGGTGGACGCGCGAGGTTACTGACAGCCGACTATAGATGATGTTTGTCGAGATCTTTCCAGCCAATTACCCGGGGAAATATTATATTTCAAGTCTCTCATCATTCAGGTCATAAAACAGGGATGGCGAGTCGGGTGGAGGGATGAGGGTGGCATTTACGATCTCACTGTCCTCTGATAGACCGAGCGCATTGTGGGCCTGATCGACTAGGGGAAATTGTGGGCCTGATAGACTAGTGCCATTTTTGAGCAGGTCCTCGTAACAACGCAGAGCAGGTTGGGATGGGGCATAGGTTGGGGGACGGTGCGGTATCGGGTGGGTGTGACAGGGCGTTTGACATAATGGCGGGGCGTCGGGTGGGGTAAAAAGGGCTTTAGGCGGGGTAGAGGGGCGTCGGGTGGGGTGTTGTGTGGGGTGACAGGGCCGTGGCATGGGGTGGAGGGGCAGCGTAGGGGGAGGGACAGCGTAGGGTGGAGGGGCAGCGTGGGGTGGAGGGACAGCGTAGGGTGGAGGGACAGTGGCTGGAGTGAAGGGTGTCGGGTGGGGAGGGGTGTCGGGTGTGGAGTGGTTTCGCGTGTGGAGCTTCGTACATGATTGGCGGCGCGTCTCGTGGAGTCGTGAGGTAACTGACGGGGTGCCCAGATGGGCGGAGGGGAGGGTGGGATTTAGCTATGCCTATGTTTGGTGTGCATAACTTAATTTGCATCAAGCTCTCCAAGTCCACCCAGCACGTGATGCGTACACGAAAGAGTTTGGTTTCATTCATGGTATATCACTTATTGTGTCCCCTCCACAGCGGCCTTACGTTTAGAGATTGCTTGACGTATACGAATGTGGATGCTGTAACACTCTGACCCCCACGTCGACGCTTGAGAACGCCCTGTTAGTACCTTCTATAAACTAACTTTAAAAAAAATATTTGTAATTTTCCATAGTAAATTTGTTTAAATGGGGCTTTATGTGTTGCAATAGGCACTCACTTGTTTTAGTTTAAATTTGAGGGGGGGAAAATGCTGTGAATTGTGAAGTCAATGATGGCGTCTTGATAATAATTTTGTGAAACATTTTTATTGTGTTTAGTTTATCGTGAAAGAGAATCGTTAAGATAGCGTACGTATGAGACGTTAGCAGGGGGAAGAATAAAGGAGAGAAAAGAGTGAGAGAAGGAGAAATTGAGTGGTAGAGATAGATAGATAGAGAGAGGGGGAGAAACAGTGAGAGATATATAGAGAGAGACGGAGATAGACAGTAAGAGAGAGAGAGAACAAAGTAGAGATTAAAAGAGGTAATCAACAAACAAAAGATTGGGATAGTGGCGCCAACCGGAAACACAAGCTGTCACGTAGATACAGTGATGCTGTTCAGAGGTCATAGTTCTGAGGTCATAGTTCTGAGGTCATCGTTCGGGGGGGGGGGGTCGGGATTCTGAGGTCATAGATCGGGTTCATGGTTCTGAGGTCATAGTTCTGAAGGCATAATTCTGAAGGCATAGTTCTGAAGTTAGGGGGGGGGGGTCGTGATTCTGAGGTCATAGATCTGGTTCATGGTTCTGAGGTCATAGTTCTGAAGGCATAATTCTGAAGGCATAGTTCTGAAGTTGCAGTTCTGAGATTACAGATCACATAGTTCTGAAGTCATAGTTCTGAAGTCATAGTTCTGAAGTCATAGTTCTGAGGTCATAGCTCTGAAGTCATAGTTCTGAAATCATAGTTCTGAGGTCATAGCTCTGAAGTCATAGTTCTGAAATCATAGTTCTGATATCACAGTTCTGAGGTCATAGTTCTGATGTCATAAGTCGGAAGTCAAAGTTCAGAAGTCAAAGTTCAGAAGTCAAAGTTCAGAAGTCAAAGTTCGGAAGTCAAAGTTCGGAAGTCAAAGTTCGGAAATCAAAGTTCTGAATTCATAGTTCTGAAGTCATAGTTCTGGGCACTCATAGCGATAAACAAAAAATAATCTTGCAAACGTCTTCTTTAAATATAGAGAGAGAAAGAGAGAGAAAGAGAAATTCTGCTTGAAAAGACATACTAAACCTAGTGAATAGCCTGGACCGACCAGTTAACAGCGGTCACTTTGCCTGAATCCCGAGGCCCCACCGATAAATACACTTTAACCGTTTAACAATGCTGGAATTGAATAAAAAAAAAACAGGACATTTTTCATCCCACTTACTGGTCAGGAATTTACGAAAACGTCGAGAAAACTTCACGTCGCTGGCTAGACCAGCGAGTCTCAAACTGCTCAGTTCAGTGCGTGATGTCAAAAAGCAACATATATGGTGAGGTATCCAATTTGTTCCCGTCCCTCCGTGCGTGTTCTCCTTAAGGTTGGCCGCCTTCGTGACGTAATTTAAAAATGCGGTAAAAATAAAAATAACATAACGATACCAATCAAATGGATCACATTTTATTTAATAGAGGTTCCGTTTTAACAATTTTTTTAGAGTTTAACAAGAAATAAAAAAAACCTTCTCAACCGTTAGAAAGTTCAAACGGCTTCTTTTAACTTCTAGCGAGAGGGCAGCAAAAGAACTGGCAGACAAGGGCTGGTGGGCGATTAGAAGGGCCGTGTGGGTCATAGTCGGGCCGTGTGGGTCATAGTAGGGCCGTGTGGGTCATAGTAGGGCCGTGTGGGTCATAGTAGGGCCGTGTGGGTCATAGCAGGGACGTGTGGGTCATAGCAGGGAAGTGTGGGTCATAGCAGGGACGTGTGGGTCATTAGTAGGGCCGTGTGGGCCGTAGTAGAATTGCAGACCATTCTTTTGCTGCCCTCTCGGATACTATTCTGAGCTCAGCGCTATTTTTTATATTTTATTCTGTGGTGTTTAGTTTCCCTGTTGTTTGTTCGCTGACGAAGGCATTCTGTCGTCACTTTCGGTTTGTTTTTTGTTTTGTTTTGTTTTTTTGTTTGTTTTTTTTTACAGTTTTGACCATACTTTATTTAACTCAATTCCTTTTTTTTTTTTTTTTATAACCTGAATTGCCGTCTCTCCCCTTATTACCATTTTTCTAATATTTTCATCAATGTTTTTCAAGTTATACAATTTTGAATAAGTCCTTCAGGAGTTGGCACGTCAAGGAATTTGACTATGGAAGTCACTGAATAACTCCTAAAAGTTTGATTTTTTAAAATTTACTTTTGCTTGTTTTGTTAAATCC